TCTACGTGGAGTTGATCGAACTAATTGATAGCAGTCTTCGTGAAACGGAAAACTCAAAGTTTCCGACATTAGGCTAGATCAATTTAGAGCTGCGGATTTGAATCTGCTTTGTGAAACGGACGCCTGAAGGTTTTCAGATGTTTTAATCTTTTACTAACAGAGAAATGTATCAAATGATCTCAGCAGCAGATCTGCTCATTTGGGAATCAAACCTGGAAAAACGTCTCATGGACGCCGAGCAACTTGGAAACATCTCATTTCTAGCTGTGGCTCCGTCCGCTCATAGAAACCAGGGTCCAAAAAACTAGTTGAAGTTCCTGAAGTTTAATCCGGCGTGTTTGAGAAGAAGGTCGACGCTTTCTGATGGAGGTCATGTGACTGGAGACGCAGCCACATCCACCTTTAATTAGTCTTCCTGTACCTGTTGTCCCACGGCGACGGGGAGATTATAGAGGTGACGCTTTTCGGCTGATTGGGTCCATCTTAACGAGATCGAAGCTGATTGGCCGAGGCTGAAGGTTAATTGGAGGGAAGGAACCTGGTTTGATTTAATTAAAAGACAAACAAATGATGAAGGGTGAGTTCTGACGGGCCGGAGGGAGGTCCAAAGTTTTCCTTAAAGTTCCTAAAACCCAGCGCTGCTGGTGAGTGATGGCCTGAGCGACCAATCAGAACCCAGGTCCGTTTACCTCCGACCTTTGCCCCTGTAAGGGCAGCTCCATCCGATCGGGTTCAAGGCCCGCACATCTGTCTGGGTTTCTCCTTTACCAGAAACTCTTTGCTTTCCGCTGGGCTCGGTTCTGGACGGTTCTGTGGTTTTCAGTTTTTAGGCCCGGTTCTGAAGGCAGAGGGTTCCGTTCCAGCAGAACCACAGAGGGTCAAACATTTGTGCAGACAGACAGAGATGATGTAACTCTGCCCTGTCACTGTCCCAGGAAACTAGGGGTTGCCACGGAGATCCCCACACGTCTGGGGGGCGGGGCCGGGGGAGCCGAGTTACAGAGCTTAAAAAATTCACGAGTTTCTGCAGCGAGCGGCTAAATATAGACTTCCTTTGAGGGAGGTGGGGGTTATAGTGAAGGACAAAAGGTTCTGATTTAAACAGCAGAAAACCTGACAGAACCGACCCAACACTGAAAAAACTCCAACATGTAGCTGATTAATCAAACTGTCGCTGTAAACTGGATAAAATTGACATTTGATTGTGTTTCTCCTTCTTTTTGGATTTGATTTTACCTGAACTAAATAAACGTACAAAGGAACCAAAACAAAGTTTTAGATTTCTCTCAATATATATAAATTTATCCATGACCTGCAGGATTTGTTTTGTTTGAGTCACTGTGAATTGCGCTTTGCACGCTGCAGTCGGAGCACATGATCAAGTCCAACTCCCAGACCGCGAGAGAGCGCCATTTTCGCTCTCTACTATCTCTACTTCCTGGCTGGATTTCGCCCATAAATAAACACAAGTAGCAAAGCAGCTGCATAAAATCAATGTTATAGCTGCTAGTTAACGAGTTAATATTAGCTAGCTGACGTCTGAGAGGGTTTACGCATTTAGCGATAACGTTATGACAATGACTCGCTAATGTTAGCTAGCCAAAAGCCCTCGCTTGTTCAACTGGGCTCCATACAGCCACATGGTCCAGCTCCCCTGGGGGAATCCCAAGGCGCTCCCTGTCTAGCAGAGAAACATAGTCCCTCCAGCGTGTCCTGGGTCTCCCCCTGGGCCTCCTCCCAGTGGGACGTGCCTGGAACACCTCGCCAGGGAGACGTCCAGGAGGCATCCTAACCAGATGCCCGAGCCTCCTCAACTGGCTCCTCTCGATGTGGAGGAGCAGCGGCTCTACTCTGAGTCCTCCCCGGATGGCTGAGCTCCTCCCCCTATCTCTAAGGGAGAGCCCAGACACACTACGGAGAAAACTCATTTCAGCCGCTTGGATCCGGGATCTCGTTCTTTCGATCATGACCCAAAGCTCATAACCATAGATGAGGGTAGGAACGTAGATCGACCGGTAAATCCAGAGCTTTGCTAAACAAGCATTGCTTGAAGGTACAGTGTGGATTTTTGTCCGAGTTAAATGCTGGATACCCGCCGTCACCGGCAGCGGGAGCCTCCAGGCTGTTGTGGGGAGCATGTTAGCCAAGGATGCTAACTGCCACCGCTTGCTGAGGTTATTTAATGTAGGGTGACCAGACATGCCCTCTCTCCCGGACATGTCCTTCTTTTCATACCTAAAAAAAATGTGCGGTGGAAATTTTTATAATCATCGGTGATTTTTGTCGACTACAGAGCAGCAGAACCGAGCCGTCAGCTTGGGGGCTGGTCCGGGATGGTCCGGGAACTCTGGTGCACAGGGGGAGGGAGGCAGCGGGGGACAGAGCGACCGAACCTGACCCAGTGACGGTAGGCGTGGCTGCGGCTACCGTCACTGGGTCTGGTTTGGTCTCTCTGTCCCCGGGCCAGCCCTAGAGCTTCCAATGCCCGGTCCGGTCCGGTCCAGTCAGCCGGATATACACCATTTAAGGCTAAATTAACAATTAACACATTTAAAATAATCTGTTGGCCAGGTGTTTTTTTAATTTAAAGAATTTGATGAGAAGATGAGAAATGGAAATGATTTTTTGAATAAAGTCAAATTAAATGTGAAAATTATAGCTTGGTTACATTTAAATGAATTTAATACAAACATTAATTCATGTTAATTTAGTTAAAAGTAAAAACATTAGCTCGGTTCAATTTCAATATATTAGTTTGGTTCATCAAATGAAATGTTCAGAAAGTCATTTGGAAGAGGGCAAAGATTGAAAGTTGATTTATTGTTTATATCAACATAAAATAATCGGGTCAGAAGTGATTAAATTCAGATTCTGTGAAGTAAAATATTTTAGATGTGATTTCTGGACATCGTTTATTTTTTATTTCACTTTCTCCAGTGAACGGACCACAGGACCCGCCCAGAGCGGCCCCACGATGGGGGGTCAGAAGGTTCCGGTTCCAGCCTACAGTTAGCATGTTCAGGTTCTGTTCAGGTTCTGTTCAGGTTCTGTTCAGGTTCGGCCCGTTAGGAGGCAGCGATCCATTCAGTCAGAAACCAGAACCCACTGATCCGACCCGTTTTCTATCGCATGGAGGAGAAATCGGGTCAGCGTTTGGTTCTGGTTTGAGGAGCAGCCTCCTGAGCTCCTGTAACAGGTTCTGATGTGGACGGCGTGGCCCCCAGGGGCCCCGCTGCATTGATTGGACTCTCAGCGAGT